ACATACCATGTTTGTCTTTTTGTGATTGGGTTATCTAGCTCAGAATGGTTTCTTCTAGTTCCATCCATTTTCCTGAAAATTTCAAGATTCCATTGTCTTTTTTTCTGCTGAGTAGTACTCCATTGTGTAAATGTACCACATTTTCTCTATCCATTCTTCGGTTGAGGGGCATCTGGGTTGCTTCCAGGCTCTGGCTATTACAAATAGTGCTGCTATGAACATCGTTGAACAGATGTCCTTGTTGTATGAATGTGCTTCTTTTGGGTATATGCCTATGAATGGAATTGCTGGATCTTGTGGTAGATTGATTCCCATGGAAAGTGATATCTTGATAGGGGGAGCCATTAAGGAGTTATCAAGGAACCTGGAACTAGGGAAATTCCCAGGAATCCACAAGGATGACCCCAGCTAAGATTCCTAGCAGTGGTGGAGCGGGGCCAGGACTGGCCTTCCCCTGTAATCAGATTGGTGAATACCCCAACTATCATCATAAAGCTTTCATCCAATAATTGTTGGAACCAGACACCAGAGCACTAGGCTGAGCTCTGGAAATCCAGTCGAAGAGAGGGAGGGGAATATGTGAGTAAGGGAGGTCAAGATCATGATGGAGCAATCTACAGAGACAGCTGAACCAAGCTCATGAAAACCCATGAACTCTAGACCTACAACTGTGGAGACTCCAGGGGACTGAATTAGGCCGTCCATATGTGGGAGACAGTTGTCAAACTTGGACTAGTTGAAGGGCCCCTGGCAGTAGGACCATGATATAACCCTGGTACATGAGCTAGAGCCTCATTGCCTTTGGTGCATGCCATGCTCAGCCTTAATGCATGGGAGAGGGGCTTGGTCCAGTCAAAACCTCTGATAGATCAGCGTTGACTATGAAGGCTGTAATTGGTGGTGGTTTTAAAATCACCTGAATTTACTAGAGCATCACATTTGAATACTGACAAATAGTTGATTGATTTTTTTTCACATTTTTGAGATCACAGATCACACTGTGAATCTGCTGAAGACTATGGACCCCTAGCTTTTGAAAATGCTTATACCCATAAGATGTCATATACAGTTGATTTATATTTTTAATACAGTATTTTTTCAAGGGCAACAATAATAGCTTTTATTGTTTTGGGAGTCTCTTGGACTCCCCCGACCAATAACTTTAAAGAAGGCTTCTCATGCTGGGTACTAGTGTTTGTTAAGCAGTCAGTGACTATTGGGGTTAGAATTATCAGCTTGAGTAGCATAACCACACACACACACACACACACACACACACACACACACACACACTGCATATATACATATATACTTATAAATATGAATACATGAATACATGTATACTTAATGTTAATACAGTATTTTTATTATTTTGGGATTTCATAGAATATTAAATATATTTTGATAATGTTCACCCCCTATACATTCTCCCAAAATGCTTCTCAGATTCACCCTTATCTCTAATCTCCTCCTAACTTAATGTTGCTTTTAAAAGAATAATCAGGGCTGGAGACTTGGCACAGGGGTTAAGAGTACTGACTGCTCTTCCAGAGGACCTGGGTTCAATTCCCAGCACCCATATGGCAGCTCACAACTGTCTGCAACTCTATTTCCAGGGGACCAGACACCCATGTCAAAATACCCATGCATAAAATACAAATAAATAAATTAAAAAAAGAAGAAAAACCCACTCCACACAGTGGGCACACACCCCTTTAATCCCAGCACTTGGGAACCAGAGGCAGGAAGATTTCTGTGTGTTCAAGGTCAGCCTACAGCTAGGGTTGTTACAAAGAGAAACCCTGTATCAAAACAAAACAAAAACCATTAAGTTCAATTTGTGCTGCCTATATAATCCTGGGTGTGGGGCCATCTACTGGAGTATGGTCAACCAATCAGAGTCCACATCCTTAAAACTGACTGTCCCTCCCCCAGAAGCCATTAACTGTCACTAGCTATTCAGTTAATGGTTGGGGCTGATTTCAGAATTGCTCTTGCACAAGTCTTGTGCAGGTAACCATTGCTGTTGAATGTTCATAAATGTTCAGTGATTTTTATATCCAGAGAACATTATTTCACTCCAGTCTTCCCTGCCTTCTGGCTCTTACAATCTCTCAATCTCTATTCCCAAGTTCTAATGTGGTCTCTGAGCCTTGGTGTGATTGACACACCCACTTGCCCTCTTACTAGTGGGCTTCTGCATTAACATCATGCACTGCACAAAGAATCTTATCTGATGAGGTCTAAGGACTGTGCTAATCTGTGGGTAGACAGATACAAATTTTGAAGAAGATTTTATACTATATCCACTTAGCAAAATACTAGTAGGAGATTCACCCCTGTGTTGGGTCCTCATCAGTACCAATTTCATTTCTCTGTGTCCTCTGCTATGGTATCTTCAACAATAGGGTCTTACCCTTGATTTCTCATTGGCAACCAAGATCAGGATGTCACATAGAGTTTTAATAGACTTACAGAATCCATGAACCCAAATATTGACAGTTAACTTAAATGTCAGCACAGAAGGCACAGTGAGTAAATTTGTGGATGACTTTGTCTAGGGGGATTTGAATGGCTATTGTGATGTATGAAAAAACTGATTCAAAATAATTTTGGTGGCTTGGAAACCCATTGAAATCAATAAAA